GATCTCGACTCAACCTTTCGAAAATTTTAATGAATATAGAGGCACTACTACAACGCTAAGTGTTCGACAAGCAAAACGTGTTTGCTTCATTTTTACTCGCACTCAATTGTGTCTTTGGTAATGTAATTTTGTCAATGTGTCATTTGGATAGTGGGTTTTGTCGTTTCGACAGCTATTGTATAGATAAGTGAAGTGAAAGATTACAGATTAAACATATCCATACAGAAAACTGAACAAACAAAAAAAAAACAAGAACGTGAGTAAACGTATGCACGCGCGCGTGACTACACGTTTGAAATAGGAAATATTATGTAAAACAGACCATATATAGTCAAGGTTGATCCACACCAAAGTTGTGTTTATGAATTCATCCAGAAGCAATATCCGATCATTTTTGCTTCAGTCCCAGCGACAGATTTCTCCTTCATAATTAATCATAATATTTCTTATCGGAACAAAACCTTAGCCTTAAAATGACAATTATGATGACAAAAAATGCAGTCACCCTCATCCTCAATTACTTATTGGATTAATGTTGACGTTTATTTGGTCCTAAATGCAATTGTGACGTCGAAACTTCGGGTTGATAAATACATTTCTAAACCTTAGTATTAAAAGCTTTGATTCCACAGGATAAGATGTTTTTACTGTCCGTGGTCTGATGGTAAATAAGCTGTACTATTTGAAAGTTCTCTGGGTCCTAGTAAACAGTATTGAAAGATCATCTAAAGCTCTGTCCAGACTATCAAATTTTCTTTGACAAAAAAACTTTAGTATGCCCATATATAGTCATGATGTGCCTATATATGGTCATGATGTGATGTCATCATGACCATATTTTTGTCAAATAAAATTTGATAGTCTGGACAGAGCTTTAAAATGGTGGCCGTTACGAATGAATATTTTCAATAAATCAAACATAATGATATTATAAGCTTGACGTACTAACTTTATTAACTTATTTATTTAAAATGACGTTGAAGACATTTTCTTTCTTTCTCTTTCACTTCCCCCTCTTTCTCAATTCTCTCTTTCTTCCTTTGTTGGAAGTTATATTGTAGTAACAGGTATACAAAACATGATGTTTCTTTATTGACCATTGATTGGTTCCTGATTTCAATGTTTTATTTCCGAAGTTTTTGGTTAATATAAAAATATTAATAATTATGAAAGTAATATTTATAATATCTAATAATAATAATAATAATAATAATAATAATAATAATAATATTATTATTATTATTATTATGATTATTATTATTATTATTATTATTATGATTATTATTATTATTATTATTATTATTATTATTATTATTATAATACCACCGATAAAATTAGAGTGATATAGTGAGATAATACTAAGATTTCATTTTAAAATGAAAAATCTGAAGAAAAAAAATACATTTTGATTATGCTTTTCTCTTCTTTTGCAAATAATTTTGTTCGATTTGTAATTCTTAAAATACAACTGAATCCGACGTCCATTACTTAGCTGTCTAATTCCCATTTCCATTTCAAGTTTCTAGCAATAGCCTATCTTACAATCGTTTGGCGCAACAATTTCACCTGATAATTGGTAATTAAATTCATAATGACCTACTCCATTTGTCTCAGTGTATTACTTTTGGGTATAAAGAAAGTGTGTTTTGAAGAAACATTCGATGATGTAAAAACTATATAAATGGAGTGAAAACACTTAAATTTTCAAAATTGCACACAACATAACGTACTCGTATTGAACATATAAACTTGTCGTAAAACACCCTACTGTGCAATTTCTTTAAAATTAATGAAGAAGTTCAAAAACAAGATAATCAGAGATTATAAACCATCTCCCTGTTGCGTCATATCTATGTACTGAAAAATTAATGGCCATCGGCCGATCCTAACATCATAGGCCTCGCGTGGCAAGTCCACACAAAATGATATTTGGAACAGGGTTAAACAGTAAATTGTCGAGAGTTATAAAGTGGTAAAAGAATCATTTAAAGCCCACATTTTGTTATGAAGTTACAGTTTAAACATACCGCTGTTTGAAAAAAAAACAATATTTGAGAAATCGGCCTTCAAAGTTTATGATTTCGAGCATTTCTTAGGCAGAAACCATCAACAAATCGTTAAATTTGTTGTTTTAACATTGCAATTGGGAAAATAACAGCATAGAATGATATATAGATATATAAAGGTTAGTTTTGTGTCATAAAATAGATTTCAAAAATTTTGACATTCCTGCATATTTTGGCCATTATCTCTGAAACAGGATTTGCGACGAGTGACTGGTTTGGCTTGTCTTTTCGTTACATGGTATAAATACTTCCAATTTTTTTTTACAGATGTAATCCAGCTTCAGATAGCTACTGTTATGTGAAAGAAAAAAAACTATAATGATAACTACTTAAATGAACTAATCTCTATTGACGAGGTGGAAATTGGGCAAGTTTGCACGCCAGCAATTGACTTAATTAATTTCAATTAATATGTTCACTTGTTTCTTGACTAGTACAACAAGTCCTGAGAACCGAGAAGTCCGGGGCATGTAATAAGGCCCCCGGACTAATCTTAAATATTAGATAATTACAAATCTTAAATAACATAATTTACAACCTTCATAAAGTAGGAAAAAACATAGCACAAAATAAACAAGCAACCAAGCCAGGAGGAACGGTACAAATTAAACAGATAAATGGAATGAAGAGCGCTTAGAGGGCTGTTGTCATGAAATACATCTATAATATATTATTATTATTATCATCATCGTCATTATTATTATTAATAATAATAATTTATGCAGAGCAGTATTTCTCGAGCATTTGATTTTTTAGCTTAGTTTTAAACACCCCCTATTCTGGTTCGCGGTCGATCCGTTCGAGTCGACTAAGCCTTATCCCAACGAGGCCGAACAATCCGCTCGATATATAAATAACATTCCGAAATCTGCCAGAGTAGGCAAAGTCTGCCCGGCGGACTGGAAGCGGTCAGGAAGGATCAAGGGGATCAAGCGGATCGACCACAGACCATTAGTTTTTCAGTACATAATGGCGCAAAATGGCGAGGATTTGTAATTTCAGATTATCTTTTTGAATTTTGTAGTGATTTTCTGGATTTTACCGCATACTATCTTAAAACAGAAACTGTGTGACTTTACTTGGGTTGTCCCCTTCTGAAGAATTGCCCATGGCGGACTCCAGTATTTTAGTTTGACAATGTTTCATTTGGTTTATAATATCTCGGATTAATTTATGGTAATATTTTACCGATTTATTTATAAAAAATGTAAAATATCCGTAATTATTAGCATCTCATTTTGGTTTACATATTCAACAATTACTATAATGGCTGCTACGGGGTTCAATCAAATGTAAATATTTTAAATAATTAGGAATTACAGAGTTTAAACGCTTATAATGCAAATGGTTTATACTTAAGAGATTAGTCTGTTATACTCATTAATAAAAAAAAAACAAAAAACAAAAAAAAAACAACGTGCCATTATAATTTACTCTCAGTATTCTAGACTTCGATCCAATATTTTGTAATAATTTTTATAAAAATCTTTAACTAACTTATCCTTAATGGTGAATTAACTTTTTCTGAGTGTGTAGGAGATTAAATCTTGAGTATTCATTCGTGAGATTGTACCTAATGACGCAAAACGCTTGAGGATAAAATTACCATTCTGGTTTATTGATATTTATATTGACTTAAAACAGTATCTATGATGTTTCATCGAAATTTAGATTAAACATAAATTTGAGTCTGGAAGTTTATGAGTGTATGGTGCTTGGTTTTGTTATCTCGTGCACGTGGAATAAATTCTTAAAAAATGTTCATTTTCTAATAATCCATCGTACGTGACAATTGAAGTTGATCTCCAAACCAATCACAGTACACAACACAAACCACGTCTTACTAAGTTATTTGTAAGAAATTGTTTTTCACATTAATCATTTGAATAACCAAATAGGCCTATCAGATCTAATTGACTGGTGTCGATTTTTATTGAAGAAGATTGTGTGGTGTGGTGCGGAAATTGCCAATGTTTTGCGTTTTCGGTTGCTGGTAGGCCTATGGGTAAAACTGTAAATATTTATACGTTACCAGAAGACAAGGTCAATCAGTAAGAAACACGACGAAATACACAAGTGTAAAATTTATTATCATATTTCTTAGCTTTTAAAATATTTGTCAGTTTTTTTTCTGTCTCATTTCGATTTACACAATTTGTTCATAGTTTCCTGTTATGTAAAATATTGCTAAGTGTAGAAT